GGTTGTCCCCGGTCTATTGTTTCGGACCGAGGAACTCAGTTTACTTCGGCCTTCTGGAGGCGCTTCAATGAGCTTCTGAAGACGAAGATTTCCCTTTCTTCTGCCTTCCACCCCGAGACCGACGGTTCGACCGAGGTTCTCAACCAGGTCATCGAGCAGTATTTGCGTATCCATTGCAATTACCTGCAAGACGACTGGACCCTTCACCTTCCCCTTGCCGAGTTCACTTACAACAACTCGGAAAACACCTCCACTGGCATGACTCCCTTCTTTGCAGTCCATGGCCATCACCCCATTTTCGATCCCTCTATCATTCGTGATCCCTCTGTTGTGCCCTCTGCCGAAGAACGTGTCGACCGACTTCAGACCGTTCTCGAGGATCTCAAGGCCAACCTCCGGGTTGCCCAAGAGTCCTACACTGTGCAGGCCAACAAATCCCGTCTCCCCACTCCCGACATCTCCGTTGGCGACCTCGTTTTTCTGGATCGTCGCCACATTCGCACCCTTCGTCCCTCCAACAAGCTTGACCAGAAAAAGCTTGGCCCCTTTAAAGTTCTTCGCCGCATCAACCCCGTTGCCTTTGAGCTTAAACTCCCTTCCACACTTAAAGTTCACCCCGTTTTCCATGTATCCCTCCTTGAACCCCGAACGAAGGACATTGTTCCCGAGTTCACCCAACCAGAACCACCTCCCATTCTTGTTAACTCCCAGGAAGAGTTTGAGGTCGAGACTGTTCTCGATTCTCGGCTCTTCCGTGGTCGCTTACAGTACTTGGTTCAGTGGAAGGGCTATTCCGAGACTGACCGGTCTTGGGAGCCCGCTGCCAATGTTTCCCACGCCACTGATCTTGTTGCTGACTTCCACCTTCGCTATCCCTCAAAGCCGAAGGCGACGTCCGGAGTTCGTCGCTAAGGAAGGGGATGATGTTAGGGATAGCTCCTGCTTGTTCTCCACTTTGACTGCACACTTGGCTATTCTTTTGCCTTTCTGTTTGTTTGTGTGTAGCCTTGCAGTTCCCCTCCGATTTTCCGCCTTTTGCCTGTCTTTTCCGCTCCTTCCGCACTTCCGTTTTCCCGCGCTGCTCCGCTTCCTTTGTCTTCTTCGCACGCGCCGGTTTGTTTGTGCACGCGCCTTGCTGCGATTGGTTGCAATTCGGCTGCCGGTCATGTGTCCCCCCACCGGTGACTCATGACCTGCCTGACCGCCCCGATCTCTTGTTCATCTCGCATGCATTTGCCCCAACCTTATACTTGACCAATCCGCTTCTTGGACGTTGAGTCACATTGCTTCGCCTTTGCACGTTTCTCCTGCCAGGTGCTTCGCTTTTGCTTGCGCCTCTCTCGCTTTGGTTCTCTGCCTGTCTCGGTGGTCCTTCTCGGCCCTCGTTCGTGCATCGCCCCCTTCGCCCTGCTCGATCGCCCACTTTTCCCTCCCTTGGCCGCCCTTCGCTGCCAAGTCCGGACTTGTCTATAAATAGCCTGACCCCCGCGATGTGTAGTCGAACCTTAGCGTTCAAAATAGGACTAAATAAAGTGCCTTCTACTTTATTCTCTGAGTGTTCCTCACGTCTCATTTCGAGACAAGTCTTATCTTGAACGGATCTTTGCTTCCCTCGCTCCCTCTCCGAGTCCACTTCGGACTCTACCCTTGCTTTCCCTGAGCTCACTTCGAGCTCACTTCTTCTTTTGCCGTTGAGTCCCCTTTGGACTCTAACACCTGGGCACACTGGACGAGCCGGGTGTCGTCAGAGACGTCACTTTCATTCACGGGAATGGTCTCTGCCCACCCCAATGTTCAAGTGGCCTCTATCCGCTCGAGGAATACGTCATCGACAACCTACCCAGCCTCGACCTGGGTACCATCCGGGTCGTCCATTGGCGCCCAGCCCAGATCGTGCGGTTCCTCGGCACCACGGACAGGATTGACCATGGTGGTGGCATCCGGCTCATCTACATGCCGCCCGACGATGTCACGGACGACGAGATGCTGGAGATGAGGAATGCACCCGACTGCCCTGTCTTTCACGAACTCGACATTCGTAGGTGCACCAGCCTCCAGTCTCTGGCATGCTTGCCAGCTCGCATGTTCAACCAGACCTTGCATCTGCCCCCATCGCTCAAGCGCCTCGACATACCGAGGGATACCGTCGACTCGCTCCGTCAGTCGCTGGAGCACCTGGAGCTTTCGCTTTGTTTTTCAGTCGAGTACACCCCCACAGGCACTGCATTTCTTGGCCGCCTGGAGAAGCTCTCGTATCTCGCCATACACGACGGGTGTGTCAGCCTCGATTGGCTCCCGAGCCGGCTCTCGTGCAAGTCCCTCTGGCTCGCCATCTACAGCGACACCCGCATCGAGCCACCCATTGCCCGCCAGAGGCTCGTGAGTCTCGTTGGAATCGAGAGGATCGCACCGTGGCTCTCCAAACTCAGTGGTCATCAGCGACTGGAAACGCTGACTGGCCTACCAGCACGCCCACCACCGATGCTCCGTGACGTGGATATCAGCGACTGTTGGTTTATTAAGAGTCTCGAGCCATTGCTCGCGTATCGAGATGTACATGTCACTTATCCACCCAGCGAGCGTATGCAGTGCCTGAACAAAGACGAACTCTGTGTCGTCAGGCGATTGAATGGGCAGTCCAGCATCGCACGCATCGCTGCAGTGCTCGGGAGCCCAACGGACTCGCAGAAGAAAAAGAAGATCAAGGCCTCTGTCACATTCAGATTGTGAGTCCAGCCAAAGCCATGTGCTCCGCGGGCGACATGGTGATCTGTGCGCAGCAGCGCCACAGGCGGCGATTTCTCGAGTCCGACCGGGGCTATTTCAGCCAGCCGCCCGTCTGCCCTCTGGTTGCCCCCTATCGCCCTCGTTCTCCTCCCTCTGGCGACGCCGTCCAGCAACCCACCATGTCATCCAACGCCCCTTGTTCTTCGCCTCCGCTCACTAGATCGAAGAGTCGTAAGCGAGCTTTGCCTTCACCGGTCGATCCTTCCACGACCAGCCTTGGTATCGACACTCAGCCGTCTCAGCCAAAGAAGAAGCGCCGTGCTTGGAACAAAAAGCCTCCCCTAGATCCCAAACAGAAACTATACAATGGGCATCCCATTGTCGACCCTTTCCCAAGGGATATGCTTCCAATGAACATCATGAAATCACCCACGTGGTTCGAGAAGCCGGTCATCTACCTCGACAAGTGTGATCGCTTCATGCAATCCACCTGGCTTGGCCGAGTCAGTACAATCAAGATTCCTGGGAGAGTCCCACGCTACTTCATGGATGCCCGTGAACTTATCGCAAAAGCAGACGGTTGGATATTCACCTCATACGACGAGCCCGAAGATCGATCGGAAAACACCAGAGCCAGACATTCCATTCAAACTAAGTGGTCCACAACGCTCAGTTACGTGGCTGCGATTTACATTAATTTTGCAGATCACAGTCATCACGACGTCCCCTACGTTAGCGAGGCTGGTATGTTGGAAATAATGCAAAAGGGGTTGGGTACACTTTCGGAGCAGTGGCGAGCTAAAGGTAATGATATTGTGAGGGCGATTTTTGGCGTCGACAATGAGGCGATTGAGAAGACGAAGCGAGAAATTCAACAGCATCTTAAAAATGGCGATAACGAAAACAGATATTTTGTTATTCAGAGTGGTGTTAAGTTTCAGAAAGCTGAATAAATGACACCCTTGGTTGTCTTAGTAGATGGCTCGCGAAGCATCTGCGCCCGAGGACACCTTTGCGGGAGACGCTCAGTATATCGCCCGTGGTTGTCTTAGTAGATGGCTCGCGAAGCGTCTGCGCTCGAGGACACCTTTGCGGGAGACGCTCAGTATATCGCCCGTGGTTGTCTTAGTAGATGGCTCGCGAAGCATCTGCGCCCGAGGACACCTTTGCGGGAGACGCTCAGTATATCGCCCGTGGTTGTCTTAGTAGATGGCTCGCGAAGCATCTGCGCCCGAGGACACCTTTGCGGGAGACGCTCAGTATATCGCCCGTGGTTGTCTTAGTAGATGGCTCGCGAAGCGTCTGCGCTCGAGGACACCTTTGCGGGAGACGCTCAGTATATCGCCCGTGGTTGTCTTAGTAGATGGCTCGCGAAGCATCTGCGCTCGAGGACACCTTTGCGGGAGACGCTCAGTATATCGCCCGTGGTTGTCTTAGTAGATGGCTCGCGAAGCATCTGCGCCCGAGGACACCTTTGCGGGAGACGCTCAGTATATCGCCCGTGGTTGTCTTAGTAGATGGCTCGCGAAGCATCTGCGCCCGAGGACACCTTTGCGGGAGACGCTCAGTATATCGCCCGTGGTTGTCTTAGTAGATGGCTCGCGAAGCGTCTGCGCTCGAGGACACCTTTGCGGGAGACGCTCAGTATATCGCCCGTGGTTGTCTTAGTAGATGGCTCGCGAAGCATCTGCGCCCGAGGACACCTTTGCGGGAGACGCTCAGTATATCGCCCGTGGTTGTCTTAGTAGATGGCTCGCGAAGCATCTGCGCCCGAGGACACCTTTGCGGGAGACGCTCAGTATATCGCCCGTGGTTGTCTTAGTAGATGGCTCGCGAAGCGTCTGCGCTCGAGGACACCTTTGCGGGAGACCATCGTTGCTTTATTCAAAGATCAGCCTATCATGGTAGCAAGTCTTAAGGCCATACCAATTGCCAATGTTACCATTGTTGAATAAGTACAAGTTAATGATGACACGGATGAAAGGGTGGAGGGTGATATAGTATGAAGCCAATCCAAGGGACTCAGTGAAAAAGACGTTTTTCCTCCATCCCATAACAGTCAAGCCATCGCCGGCAAAGGTGTTTTCCAACCCTTCAAACCAAACACTGACGATTCCATCAATTATCATGGCGCTGCTATCGTTGGAGCGATCCGATCCGAAAAACTCACGAAGAGTGGGGTCTTCGTCAATCAAGTTGAATACAGTCTTGAAGTTGGTGGGGTCTCTGTCGACGGGATTCGCGATAGCATGCTTGAACCCGGTGATATCGAGCTTCTGGAATGACCAGCGTTCATCTGGAAGCTCCTCGACCCCAGCGGCCATGCCTTGAGGAGTGGGAGTGGTGGGGCGAGCGGAAGGACCTGGCTGGGTGTCCTCGGGGTCGCTGAGCTTGGTTCGCTTTGTGCCGTATATGAAGGCTTCAGCTCTGTCCAGGATTCCAAAAGCGGTGGTCTTGTCCTCGACACCCTTGATGCACTCAAGTGCAGTCTTATAGGCATCCAGGCTGAGCTGCTTCTTCTGGCTCTCGATTTCTCGATTCTTGCTGTCGATTGTGGCCATGTCCTTGGACCATGCCATAAATACAGCCATGTCATTGCCCGAGGCAAGCACAGCGTCCCTGATTGGTGTCATGAATTCGCAGCATCCCATTGGCACAGCCTTCATCGCGGCGAAATCTCTCTTGAGCGAGACGACAGCCGCTCCATCGGGAGTTGCGGGCTCAACAGGAGGTGCTTGTGATGACCAGCATCACAACGGACCAATGAGATTGTCCCGCATGCTCTCGCCCTCCGCACCAATCATGAGTCCCCACGTGTTTGTTTGCCCCCATGCATGAGCACGCGCCGTTGCCACCCGCGTCTACTGGTTTCCTGCCTCCCCCACCGCTCGGCACATGTCCCCGGGCTGTGCCAAGCCTCTCTCGCTTGCACACCAGCCACTCTCGCACCCCCTTCTCGCTTCTCTGTGATGCTCCACCCTTCTCGCCCACTTTTGCCCCTCGACCTTCTCCCGGTCTATAAATAGCCCTGCATGTCTGAGCCTATGTTGAACACCAGTTCGAACAAAACTTGTTCTTTGGTGTTCGGGGCTAAAAGCTAATAAAGCTCATACCAAGCACTTGGTCTTCGTCCTTGCGCTTGTTCACTCCTTACACTTTGTTCGAACTCTCTTCTACTGATACCACCTGCTTGGTATCTTCCGCTCCTAGCCCCGCCCCTTTCCTAGTCCTGTCCGAACCTCAAGCACACTTGTGTCTGAGCCCTCTTCGCTCTCCTGTTCTTGAACCTCCTCGCTTTTTTTTTTTTTTTCCCAGTCCCAGTCCCAGTCCCGCCATGGATCCTGCCCTCGTGGACCGCCTCCGTGCCTTGGAGGCCGAGCTCGCCGAGCTCCGGACAGCTCGCGATGCTCCTGCCGCTGGGTACAGCGTGCAGATGCCGGACCGTTACGACGGTAACCGGCAAGGGTTCCGGGCATTCGTAAATCAGTGCAAACTGTATATACGAATGCAGCCCCACCGGTTCCCTGCTGACCCGATTAAGGTCGGATTCGTCATTAGTCTGCTCACTGGACCGGCTCTCCAGTGGGCGACTCCGATGCTTGAGATGGGTGATCCCCGACTCAACTCTTTTGGCGATTTCCTAGAACGCTTTTCCAAAGTGTTTGACGACCCTGATCGGGCCAGGACTGCCGAGTCAGTGATCACCACACTGTCTCAGGGCAACCGCCCGTGCGCAGTCTATGCATCCGAGTTCCTTCGTATTGCCGCCGATACGACTTGGAACGACGGTGCAAAGATCTCGTTCTTCCGACTTGGCTTGTCGGATGATGTCAGAGACGAACTTTCGCGAGTTCGCCCTCTGCCACGAGATCTGGAGGAGTACATCGAGCTTTGTAACGAGCTCGATGCACGAATCCGCGAGCGCCGTCAAGAGCGCCGAAGCACGCCTGCCCGCTACCGGTCTTCCCAGTTCGCCTTTGGTTCCGCCTCCGCTGCCGTTCCCGCCATCGCTCCCGCGCCCGTCCTCGCTCCGCCGCACCCCTCCTACATTGTTTCCGAGCCCATGCAAGTGGACTCTGCCGTCTCTGGACCCCTGACCGCCGAGGAGAAACAACGCCGCCGCCGCTTTGGACTCTGCCTGTACTGTGGCAAGAAGGGCCACTTGGTACGAAACTGCCCCGTCAAGTTTGGATCTACCAGAGCTACCGGACCGCCCCCTGGACCTCCCGGCCCGAGGATCATCCGCACCATCGTTTACGAAGATGGAGAAGTGCAAGACTTCAGTTCGGGAAACGACCAGGCCCGGTTCTAAGTGAAGGCCTTGAACCGGAGCCGTGCCCACCGCCTTCCGAAAGTGAAGACATTGGTAAGGTGCCTTTGGTAAGTACTGGGGAAGCAGTGATGTGCGGACAGCTTCGCCTTGCCTCTGGACCGGCGGACACTCTCAGCTCTGGCATAGTACCCGTGGCACCTCTGGTGTCACTGGGAACTGCACCTCATCCACAGGTGCAAATACCTGAGCTGTCCTGCCAACCCTCGGCAAAGTTAACTGTCTGTGCTAGCCGCAACCCTGGTGCCGAAGCTGGTACCGAACCAAAGTCTTGTGTTTCGTCTGTTCGTCGTTGCTCGTTGGTTGTTCCCGTCGCTGTTCGTCTTCCTTCTGGTGATTCTCTGTCGTGCGAAGGACTTGTCGATTCTGGTGCCTCTGGCAACTTTATCGACGAGGACTTTGTTGCTCGACACTCTGTCCCCACCTGCTCCAAGGCTTCGCCCTTGGCAGTGGAAGGCGTGGATGGTAAGCCGCTGTCGTCTGGCCCCATCCTCCGCGAGACTGCTCCACTCGAGGTGATTCTCGGGGACGTCTCGCAACGCCTTCGGTTCGATGTGATCAGGTCTCCACATCAACCACTTATCCTTGGCTTTCCTTGGTTGCGCACCGCCGAGCCCAAGATTGTCTGGTCTCGCGGTCTTCTTTGTCTCCCTCCTTCTGTTGATTCCGACCCCTCTCCATGCACTACTTCTCTTTCGTCTTGCTCCACTTCCTCCAATGTCACTCCCCTTCTTGATGATTCCACTCCTTTGATTGATCTAAGCTCCTCTCCTACGCTCCCACCTTCGTCTTCCCCTTCTTGTCTTGTTCCTCCCGAACCCCTTCGCTCTTCCCAAACCCCTTCTTCTGTTGTCAGTTCTCTTTCCCTCCTTGATGTACCTCCTCCTGTTGTTTGTTCTTCGGACATTGTTCAGAATAAAGTAACCGTCGAACATTATTCTGACCTTGTCCACGCCCCTCCTCTCAGCTCGGACGCTCCTCTCCGCGTCTGCAGCATTGATTACCGCTCGATGCGCGAGTCTTTGGATGCATGCAGGCATGGAACGCAACCCCTGACCATCTTTCAGGTCCATGTCCTGCCCACTGACGAGCCGAGCACTGCGACTGTCGAAGTGCCTGCGGAGTACAAGGACTTCCTGTCTGTTTTCTCTAAACAGGAAGCTGACTCCTTGCCTCCGCATCGCCCTTATGACTGCCCCATTGACTTGGAGCCGGGCAAGTCGCCAAAGTTCGGGCCTCTGTACTCACTGTCCGAGCCCGAACTTCACGCTCTGCGTGACTATCTCGACGAGAATCTTGCCAAGGGATTCGTTCGTCCTTCGTCGTCCCCAGCAGGCTCACCAATCCTCTTCGTCAAGAAGAAGGACGGCTCACTTCGTCTTTGCGTTGACTACCGCGCACTGAACGGTATCACGGTAAAGAACCGTTACCCTTTACCGCTGATCGGCGAGCTGCTGGACCGACTTCGAGGCGCGAAGGTGTTCACTAAGCTGGACCTTCGTGGAGCCTACAATCTGCTGCGCATCCGCTCCGGGGACGAGTGGAAGACAGCTTTCCGTACTCGATATGGGCACTTCGAGTACTTGGTGATGCCCTTTGGGCTCACCAACGCGCCAGCGACGTTCCAGCACTTCATCAACGACGTCCTGCGCACCGAGTTGGACCAGTTCGCAATTGCGTATCTTGACGATATCTTGATCTACAGTGCTGATCCGTCGCAGCATGTAGAGCACGTCAAGCAGGTCCTCTCGAAGCTCCGAGCTGCAAAGCTGTATTGCAAGCTGGAGAAGTGCGAGTTCTCCAAAACCTCGGTCTCGTTCCTTGGTTTCATGGTCTCGCCCGAGGGCATCGGTATGGAGCGATCCAAGCTCTCTGCGATCTTGGATTGGCCCATACCGCGCAACATCTCGGATCTTCGATCCTTTGTCGGGTTTGCGAACTTCTATCGACGCTTCATCGATGGATACGCAAAGATCGCGGGGCCCATGACTCGGCTCTTCCGGAAGACGCATGGCTTCCAGTGGTCCCGCGAAGCCGATAAAGCATTCAGATCCTTGAAGGATGCCTTCGTTTCGGAGCCCGTTCTGGTGCATCCGGACCCATCCAAGCCGTTCGTCGTAGAGTCAGATGCGTCGGACTTTGCGCTTGGATGCGTGCTCTCCCAGCGGGGTGCTGATGATCGCCTTCATCCTTGCTCGTTCCATTCGCGGACACTCTCGAATGCTGAACGTAACTACAGCATATACGAGAAAGAGCTGTTGGCGATCAAGGAGGCTTTCGAGGCGTGGCGACACTACCTCGAAGGCGCCCAGCATCCCGTTGCCGTTCTGACCGATCACAAGAACTTGGAGTACCTGGCAACGGCTCGCATCCTAAACCAGCGTCATGCACGGTGGTCCCAGTTCTTGTCTCGGTTCGACATCCGCATCCAGTACCGTCCTGGTGCGAGGAACGGCAAGGCCGATGCCCTGTCTCGTCGCTCGGACTACATCCCTTCGTCGGCCTCCGTGTCGAGGGATCCGCCTCTGCTTCTCGATCCTGCCGCGGTGATACGCGTGCTCCGAAGCAGAGACGCCCGCTCTTCGGTTGCAAGTCGCAGTGACCCTGTGGATTTGCTGCAGCTCATAGCCGAAGAGCAGGCTCGGGATCCCGGTCTAGACAAATACCGTCGTGACCCGAAGTTCGTCTGGAATGGCCAGTACCTCACCTTCCAGAACAGGATTGTGGTCCCAGAGTCGTGCCGAGTTCCGGCGCTCAAGTCGTGCCATGACCCAGTCGCTGTGGGTCATCCAGGCATCCGACGGACTCTGGCTCTGGTATCGCGACAGTTTTGGTGGCAAACCTATCGGAAAGATGTCAAAGAGTACGTCTCGACGTGCGACACCTGTGCACGCTCGAAAGCTCCGCGACACAAGCCGTTTGGGTTCCTGTTGCCACTCCAGACAGCCGATCGACCCTGGGGGACACTGACCATGGACTTTATCACTGATCTGCCAAAGTCCAAGGGTCACACCTGCATCTTTGTGGTGGTATGCAGCCTCACAAAGATGGCACACTTTATGTCCTGGCGTTCACTGCCGTCGGCGGAGGAGACTGCGTCACTGTTCCTCGACAATGTCTTTCGTCTCCATGGCCTCCCCGACACAGTGGTTTCAGACCGAGGAAGTCAGTTCACCTCTCGGTTCTGGAAGGCACTCTGCACGCAGCTCGGGATCCAAACCAGTCTGTCCACGGCCTTCCATCCCCAGACCGATGGACAGACTGAGAGGGTCAACCAGGTCATCAACCAATACCTGCGCTGTTACACGTCGTATCAGCAAGATGACTGGGCCGAGCTGCTGCCGTTGGCCGAGTTCTCTTACAATAACCTCGAGAACTCGTCAACACATGCCTCGCCATTCTTGGCAACCTATGGGTTCCACCCAAGGTTCGAAGTCCCCGTTGTCGCTGGCGGCCCTGATGTTCCCTCTGCCACGGAGAGGGTTGAACATCTCCAGCGGAACCTGGCACTGTTGAAGGAGAATCTTGAGAAGGCAAAGTCTGACTACAAGCACTTCTCAGATCTCCGGAGGTCCCAGGCTCCCGACTTGCGTCCGGGCGATCAAGTCTGGGTGCTGACTCGTAACATCAGCACCACTCGCCCAAGCAAGAAGCTGGATTACCAGAGGATTGGACCATTCACCATCCTCGAGGCCGTCGGGACATTGGCTTTCCGCCTGGACTTGCCAAAGGACATAAAGGTGCACCCGGTGTTCCATGTGTCTCTTCTTGAGCCCTACAAGAAGAACTCGCTTCCGGGTCGGGTGCAAGCGCCGCCCCCTGCGGTGGTCATCGATGGGAACTTGGAGTGGGAGGTCGAAGAGATCTTAGACTCCAAGTTCGTGCGCGGAAAGCTGCACTATCTCATCGATTGGAAAGGCTACCCGGTCACCGATCGAAGTTGGGAGCCCGCCGACATTGTCTTTGCCCCAACGGTGGCCGCGGAGTACCACCGACGCTACCCAGACAAGCCTGGCCCCAGGAGAACTCAAGATGGAACACGCCGTAGTTTAAGGAGGAGATAGTGTGATGACCAGCATCACAACGGACCAATGAGATTGTCCCGCATGCTCTCGCCCTCCGCACCAATCATGAGTCCCCACGTGTTTGTTTGCCCCCATGCATGAGCACGCGCCGTTGCCACCCGCGTCTACTGGTTTCCTGCCTCCCCCACCGCTCGGCACATGTCCCCGGGCTGTGCCAAGCCTCTCTCGCTTGCACACCAGCCACTCTCGCACCCCCTTCTCGCTTCTCTGTGATGCTCCACCCTTCTCGCCCACTTTTGCCCCTCGACCTTCTCCCGGTCTATAAATAGCCCTGCATGTCTGAGCCTATGTTGAACACCAGTTCGAACAAAACTTGTTCTTTGGTGTTCGGGGCTAAAAGCTAATAAAGCTCATACCAAGCACTTGGTCTTCGTCCTTGCGCTTGTTCACTCCTTACAGTGCTGTGGCAAAGAAGAATCAGCGTCAGTCCTCAGTCGAGCGAAAAACAGCTATGTTCGTGCAGCACTCACCAGGGACAACGGGCTTTGGAGTAGCGATCACTGTCTCGACAACGGCCGCGACCACAGGCACAGGCTGGGGATCGGGAGTCGCGAGAACCGGGGCGGCATTGATCTTGTCGTTGCTCTTGGCCGCTGGCGTGATTGGAGTAGCCAAGCCATCGACGAGCATCAAGCGAGGACCGCTGATGCCAGCAGGAGTCGGGGTCTTGGGGTGTTCAAAGGCCGCCGCATTCTTGGAGGGCATGCTGGCTTGAACTGGAACAACGCCTTCGTCGACGACGGTGTATTCGTCGTCGATCAGCTGCATGGACTCGGCAGAAGCGACCGAATCGGCGGGTTCATCGACCTCGGTGGAGCTGGAGGACTCGGCGGACTCGGAAGAGCAGAAGGATCTTGCTGAATCGGTGTCCGAGGGAACGTACTCAGAGTCGCTGTCGTACGCGTCGTTGGTGGTGAGGATGGGCTGTGAGGTGGTTTGAGCAACAGCAGGGGGGATTGCGAAGCGATATAACAAAGAATTGACGCTGCACAGCACCCTGAACCCATTGGGGACATCCACAAAGATGGATACAAACGCAGAAAAGGTGGGGACAAACCAAGTTACAGGGCGATTGATCAAAGGTGAAACGGGGGTGTTGGATAGGGGGGTAGTCAGATTCTGCAATCTCAGGCGAAACCCCAATCCTATAGCAGAACAGAAGGGCCCAACAGCGCGATATTTGCCAACAGTGTGGTTCACGAAGGACTGGTGAATGCGATTGTGTTCAGCTGGGTTCAAGGGGTGAACAACAGCGCAATAGATCGAATAAAAACCTTCAAAGTCAGAGACATTGGCAAAAAGATCAAACCTGTGGCAATTGGAAGGAGTGATGTCACCAGCGCCATGGATTTTCTTGTTCTTCTTCAAGAGGGTAGCAACGAAGGTGCGAAGATAAGAAAGATTGGGGAAAACGGCAACAATCGGGGCAAAATAGTGCTGGAAGCACTTCAGAATCAAAAAAATATAAACACGGGCGATCTGGATGTACTCGGTACACCAAATAAATCCAGTGAACACTGGAAAGGTGATCTGCTTGAGGGCAGACCGGCGAAAATCGGAATTGATCATTTCGAACGTCATCGCCCAGTGAGTAGAGCGCTGATGCGTCTTCACGATCGTGACGCTGTTTCTACCAAAGGGAACGTCGCTGAGGGAAACGTCGGGGATTGGAGAGTCGGGAGGCCTGGCAGCTGGGACAACTACACCTGGAAGGGCAGCAGGCGCAGTAGGGGTAGCTTGGATACCGGGGGGAGCAAAGGGAGTAGCCATGGTCGAACGCAGGAAGCTGAGGCTGGAGCTGGGTCGATGCTGATCTCGCTCCTCTGCCCCGAGGGCGACCATTTATACCACCAGTCTCGGCATCCTGGGAGACATGGTTGTCCCTCGCCAGGGCCGCCCTGGTGCGGCGATCTCTGCTCTTCATCCCCCGCTGGACTTGGGATCGCCGCGCACGGCGGCACGGCGGGCGGAGGAAACATGCCATCTCCACCCTGACCCCCTTGGTCATGTGATCGCGTCGACCTCCCAGCCCAATGCACCAAGTCCTCATTTCGCTCTTGGACTTGATCATGTCGAGGCAAAACAGAAAGGATCGGTCTCGTTTTCTCTTGATGGTGGAGCTACTCCCTCTCCTTGTGCTTCGAGACTTGCTTTCCGTGACCATGGCTGGTTGAACCGAATAGCTCTCCACCGTCCAGCTCGGTAAACTGGATGAGATCGGCGAGGAGCACCGAGTCCGAGATCGTAAAGGCACCCTTGTTCTGTCCGACAAAGATGCCCTGAAGCAGGATACGCTTGGCCGTCTCTCGTGGGTTGCGGTCGTTCTCTCCGAATGGCTCGTACTTGGCGCTGACACAGGCATCGAGGGCCTTCTTGAGCTGGAATGCATCGTTCAGCTTGTAAGCACCCTTGGACTGAGCAATCTCAATATACTGAGCAATGAGCTGGAAGGCATTATCGTTGGTGATGTCGACGTTGTGGAGCGGGGGCATGGCTGTGATCTTCTCTAGGCCAAGAACATTTCTTGCCTCCATCAGACGCACGAGACCCAGCCCGAATATTCTATCTACCCCTCACCAAGAACCCACAATGTCGACGAATGCAACCGCACTCACGCAGCTCACGACATACGGCCCGCAAGAGCGAGCGCTCTTCCAGGGGCAGCCCAAGAGCGGCATTAACATCTCACGAGTCGAGTTCCAGGAAGTGACCGACTTTGGCAAGACAACGACCGCGGTCGTTCCCTGGCTGGGTGATCAGCTCGAGGAGACGTGGCTGTATTTCACGATCGAAGTTAACGTCGGTGGCTTTGCCAATGCAGCTGGGTTCGGGGCAATCGACTCGATCGAGATGTGGGTCGGCTCGATGCGCCTGTACCAGTGGACGGGCATGTGGCTCGAAGCGGTTTCGGCATTGGAGCCGACGAACTATGCGGATGAGCTTGCAGCCGGGCGAGTTCCCGACGGATTCACGCTTTACCAGCCACTGTGTGATTTCAGTCTCCCGCAAGCCACCACCCAAAGCTTTCTCATCAGAGCACCCCATGCACCGTTCCTCTTTGCGGATGTACAGGCGATGCAGCTCAAGTTCCGGGTGATATGGGCAACCGCCGCATCTGGAGTGCTGGGACCGGCACCGACTCCACACACATCGACAGACCCACCGATTCCCGCACAAACCGCAGTCTTCCAGGATGCCGCCGTCTTCTTCAAGTATCGCATGTGGCCGACGGCACCAGTGAATGACCCGGATGTGCAAAAGACTCAGCTGCTCAACACCTGGGTCTACTATGACGTACCGGTCTCACCGGGGTCATTCAAGGTGGTACTCCCGTTCCGGTCGGTGATCCACAAGCTGCTCTGGAAGTTTAATCCAGAGGCAACGGGTCTCTTCACCAGCGTCACACTGACCCTGGACGGCAAGCCCCGATTCTACCAGCTGCCAGAGATCTTCCCCCGCATCAAGACGGGCTATGCAGACTTTGACTGTAACGTCCACTACTGGGACGTTGGGGCAAGACGGGGAGGGAGGGGGTACAAGACAAGACAGGACAGGGCAGAACAGGGCGGTGCTAGGCTACTCTAGCGGACGGGTGAGCTCGGGAAGCACTTACGTTTATTCACGATAAAACCGAACTCCAGACAAACGGGGGGAACGGGGGCAACCCGCAGGTATACCCTGCGGTGGCCTGCCTGCGGTGCGTGAAAACGCAAAGCGCAGCACAGGTCACGACCCACTGCGCCGCGCAGTACGCGCAGTACGCGCAGCACAGCGTCGGAGATACCATCTCCTACACTCCCACACTTAAGAAGGCTTCCTGCGAGGAGCCCTGCGTGTGCTCTTTATTTGGGGCTCCTCGAGGTGTTTACCGTATTTACTCAGCTCCTCGGGTGCATGGGACAAGTCCTCCAGTGTTTGCCATGTGTTGCCCGAGTGTGGGTAACCAACCCACTTGACATAAAACCGAAGTGACCCATCAGCCACTTTCTTGTGCCTCACGATCCTTTCGACTTCATATTCTTGAGTATAGTATTGTCCGAGGTCGTCTTCCAGTGGTGCGTCGTCCGGGACACCTTCGTCGGCGTCGGGGAACTGTGCTGGACTGCGGGTCGTGTGGCGACGCAGCTTGGACACATGGAAGACAGGATGGAGCTTGCTTCCAGGTGGCAAGTCCAACAGGTAGTTGAGGGGACTGGGTCGGGCCGCTATCTTGAACGGTCCTCGGTACTTGGGCAACAACTTCTTTGACTGGGCTTCGGGGACCTTGATGTTGTCGGCGTCCAGGTAGACAAGGTCTCCAACTTCAAAGGAGACATCCTGGTGTCGGCGGTCGTAGTACTTCGCCATCACTTGTTGCGCATCCGTGAGCGCGTCGGCGATCATCTTGTGTCGGACTTGATGATCTTTGACAAAGGCACTTGGTTTGGGAGGCAATCCAGCCGTGGACTCGGTCAGTGTCAAGGAGGTGGGAACATCAGGCTGGAATCCGTAGAGCGCCTCAAAGGGGCTCAAGCCAGTTGTGCTCGACTTGGCGGTGTTGTATGCAAACTCTGCATGACTCAGCTGTATGTCCCAGTCGTCTTGGCTGGTCGAGGCGTATGTCCTCAGGTATTGCTCGAGGGTGCGGATCGTCCGCTCGGACTGTCCATCCGTTTGTTGGTGGTGCGAGGTTGACATGTTCAGCTTGGTGCCGAGATGGTCGAACAGACTTGTCCAAAACAAGGAGGTGAATCGGGGGTCTCGATCACTGACGATGGACTTTGGGAGGCCGTGGTGCTTGAACACATGCTTGAAGAACAGCAGTGCAAGGTCAGGCGCGGAGCATGTCGTCTGGCACGGCACAAAGTGTGCCATCTTGCTGAACCTGTCGACAAAGACAGCGATTGCATCGTGGTCCAACTTGGTCGTCGGTAGATGCGTGATGAGATCCATGGACATGCTGGTCCAGGGGCGGTCGGGAACAGGCAGGGGTTGCAGCAATCCTTGCTCTCGGGTCGTGCGTGACTTGACCATCTTGCAGGTATGGCAGGACTCGATGTACTTCTCGACGGTGCGCTTCATTCCAGGCCAGTATGCGACTTTGGCCAGTCGGTCGTATGTCTTCTCGACTCCAAAGTGTCCAGCGAGGGGCGAGTCGTGGACCTCTTGGAGCAACTTGGTCTTCAACGACGGAATGTCCGGCACACAGACACGGCTGTCCTTCTTCAGGAGGAGCAGGCCATCACGCACTGTGTACTCGGATGATTCGTCGTCCTTGGGGAGCTTAGACACCTTTCGGAACAGTTCTCCGAACTGTTTGTCGTTGGCGATGTTGTCTCGGACAACATCCAGCATCGTGTTGTCGACACTGACAGTCGACTCGTACAGTGACGCCAATTGGTAGTCGGGGCGTCGGGACAGTGCGTCAGGCACCACATTGAGTTTGCCTTTCTGGTATACAACCTCGTAGTTGTACTCGGCGAGGAACTCCATCCATCGCGCTTGGCGTCGGCTCAGGTTCTTCTTGGTGTCGAGGTAACGCAGTGACTGGTGGTCCGTCACAATCTTGAAGGGCTTGGCGGTACCGTGGAGGTACACTCGGAACTTCTGCAGCGCGTAGATGATCGCAAGCTGCTCCTTCTCGTGCACGGGATAGTTGATCTCGTGTTGGGACAGTTTGCGCGACTCGAAGGCAACGGGCCTTCCCTCCTGCATCAAAACAGCTCCCACCGCAAAGTCGGAGGCGTCGGTGTGCACGGAGACATCCGTGTTCGGGTCGAACACAGCGAGGACAGGAGCGTTCGTCAAGGCGTGCTTGAGGGTCTCGAACGCTTGGCGTTGTGGGTGGTCCCACACGAAGGGGCACTCTTTGCGGAGTAGGTCTGTGAGTGGACCGGCAGTGCGCGCCAGATCGGGGATGAATCGGCGGTAGTAGTTGACGAGACCGAGAAACGACTGCACGTCAGAGACGCATGCGAGCGGCGGCCACTCGACCACAGACTTGACCTTGGCGGGGTCGACTTCGATTCCTCTTCCTGAGACAACGTGTCCCAGGAACGGGACTTGATTCTTGAAGAACTCACACTTGGACAGTTTGGCATACAACTTGTGCTCGCGTAGCTTGGCCAGCACGCGGGCGACATGACCTTCATGGGTCGCTTCATCCTTGCTGTACACAAGGATATCATCCAGGTACACGATGACAGAGTTGTCGAGCTCTTGGCGGAACACATCGTTCATCAGCTGCATGAACGTGGCAGGTGCGTTCGTCAATCCGAACGGCAGCACTAGGAACTCGTACAGTCCGTAGCGAGTCCTGAAGGCGGTCTTGTGGACATCATCCTCGTGGATGCGGATCTGATGGTAGCCTGAGCGGAGGTCTATCTTGCTAAAGACCTTTGCTCCACTCAGACGATCCATCAACTCGTCGATCCTGGGCAACGGGTAGGTGTTCTTGATGGTCTGTTTGTTTAGTGCGCGATAGTCGACGCACATCCTGAGATCACCTTCTTTCTTCTTGACAAAGAGCACTGGTGCACCATACGGTGACTGGCTCGGGCGGATGAACCCATGGGCGAGGAGGTCATCCAACTGGCGCTTGAGTTCGTCCATCTCCGTCAGCGACAGTTGGTACGTCGGTCTTGACGGAGGCGACGAGCCTGGTTCGATGTCGATGCGATGATCGACGGTGCGTTGGGGTGGCAGGCATTGTGGCAACTGGTCGGGGAATACGTCCTTGTACTCGTCGAGCAGCTTGGTCACCACAGGCGGGGGACCGGGACCGGCTTGGTCGGTGTCGTCGACCTCACGCACGACACAGAGGAACGACGTGTCCTTCTTGATCAGCCTCTTGAATTGCATGGCTGAGAGGAGAGGTGGCATGTTGGGTGAGGCCATGCCCTGCAGGACAATGTCAGGGCCAACACGGACAGTGCGGCCTTTCCAGTCGACGACTGGAGTCGGCTCGGCACGAGCAAGCCAGCTCATGCCGAGGATGGCATCGAACTTGGTGTCGATCACTTGGAACAACAGGACAGGATGGTACTTGGGATGGAGGGCCACTCGCAGGACCACTTGGTGTGTGCACTGCTGCACACGATCGTCTGCAAGCGCCACACTCATCGGCGACTTCTTCTTGGTTGCATGTATGTTGAGCTCCTGGAGCAAGCGTCTGCTGACAAAGTTGCAGCTTGCTCCAGAGTCCACCATCATTCGGACGGTGTGACCTTGGACGGTGGCAGGGAGGTACAGCAGGGACTCTTCATGGTCCTCCTGCACAGCCTCCTGCACCATGACTTGACTTGGGGGAACGGGCGACACTTGGTCTTGGTTGGCTTCATCACGGCCACTCGGACATTTTGGATAGGGTTCGGCCATTGCGGGGGCCTGCGGCGTCAGCACGCCATTGCACACGACGTCCACGGCTTGCGGACACATGTCGGAAGCATCCGACACACACGACTTGACAGGGGTGAGGGCACAGGCGGTCCTGTCCCTCAAGGGTTCTTGATTTTCTTTTTTGTTTTGGTTTTCAATTTTGGTTTTCTCTTCACGTTCGTGGAGAGGCAGGCGGCTTGCGCCACCATGCACCTCTCGCACGACGCACAACACTTGGTTTGTTTCTCCTTCGGGGGAGGGGGCGAGGTGAACTTCCTCTGGAGACGCGTGGACTGCATTGAGCAATCCACGGCGTTGGTCTCCTACTAGGGCTCCAGAGCCACCTAGTAGGGTCGGCCGTTTCCCGACTTCATGGGGCACTCCTTGGCCTGGTGTCCCGGTCGGTGACAGAAGAAGCAGGAACCATGGCGGAGGTCCTCCTGCTTCTGTCTGTCCTTGGGGGAGACAGTGGCAGCTTGCTGGAACCGGGAGCGGGGAGGGCCACGAGCCTCCATGGCGTTGACGTCAACGTCCATGGGCTCAGGCATGGGTCTTGCGGGCGGGGCCGGGCGAGGCGGACGGGCTGGGACGTGATGAGACCGATGGCCGCCTGCCAGCTGCGGGTAGAACTGGCGGCCATGGTACTGGACGTTGTCGAGGTTCTCGGCAACGTCCATCATCACGTCCAGGGACTTGCGGGCATCAGGGTTGCTGGCGATGTACTCTCTGATCTTGGGCTTGAGGCCCTTCTGGAAGAGGTACATCGCATCAGCAGAGCCCAGCTCCTCAATCTGGGAGGAGAGGTCTTCAAACTCCTCGATGTAGCGGGTCACAGAACCACGCTGCACGAGAGAGTATAGCTTGTCACGGGCAATGAGTTCAGCATTGGGGCTGCCGAAGCGGCGACGGAGGCGGTCCTTGAAGTCGTCAAACACACCTTCGCTCTGCTCGTCGAACCCTTGGCGGCGGTACCAACGGTACGCCTGGTCCTTTAAGCAGAGCTTGGCGGCGACGATGTGGTGGGTGGGGGCGACTTGGGCAGCATCGAGGTAGTCCTCGAGTTGCTGCAGCCAGTCCTCCACCGAGGAGGAGCGGCTCTTCCCAGTAAACACTGGGGCACGGAAGGTCTTGAGGAAGGCTTCCGGAAGTGGGCGGGGGTTGCTCATGGCAGGGGCAGGCTCCAGGGACAGAGAGGAGAGTCGGTCGGCAAGAGAGGCGGGATCCAGCTTGAGGATCTAGAAAGAGGACAAACAGGACGAAAACAAGACGAGGATTTCCGATGCTACCATGTAACGTCCACTACTGGGACGTTGGGGCAAGACGGGGAGGGAGGGGGTACAAGACAAGACAGGACAGGGCAGAACAGGGCGGTGCTAGGCTACTCTAGCGGACGGGTGAGCTCGGGAAGCACTTACGTTTATTCACGATAAAACCGAACTCCAGACAAACGGGGGGAACGGGGGCAACCCGCAGGTATACCCTGCGGTGGCCTGCCTGCGGTGCGTGAAAACGCAAAGCGCAGCACAGGTCACGACCCACTGCGCCGCGCAGTACGCGCAGTACGCGCAGCACAGCGTCGGAGATACCATCTCCTACATTGACGGCACACGCGGAATCTACTGCTTCGATTTCGGAGCAGAAGATGCCTTGGATTGCGGGGCCTTTGACGAAGTCGCACTGCTCTTCAACATCACCAATACCGCCACGAACGGGCTGTACCAGCTCTACTTTATGGGCATCGAGGCCACTCTTCTGCAGAGTGCCGATGGAATCAGCTGGTTGGATTTCATGAGCTGAAGGGGTTTCATTGTGTGTATGTGGTATTCTGGATATCGTCTGTGTCTGAGTTTGAGGTTTCAGTTTGGGAATCGTCATCGTCAGATTGGTAAGTGTGGTATTCGGGATCAAGCTTCCAATGCTCTTGGTCAAAATCAGGAAACCCCATGGACGGATGTGTACTGTTCCAGAACACTTTTAGCCGTTTCATATTTTCGCAAAACATTTCGGTGTATTGATTACGAAGCGTAGGGTCCTTACAATACCACAAAGCATTGAACGGCGCAGCAACAGAATACAAGGGCTCTTTACGAAGTAGCTCTGTCAATTGAAGTGGTTGGCGGTTTGAACTCATTACCAATTTATTGTCCAGAGTGGCCCGAAACTCCTCCAAGTCAATATACGACCGTTCCCTTGCTTTCAATGTCAAATTTTCGTAAACATTCCGGCGTTCTACCATTGTGAGGATGATGTAAGGTGCATATGTGTGATAGGTTTTCAGCATTGTGTCAGGGATCCTCGATAAGAAGTCTCTCCGGTCCTCTCGCAGCCGCGATGCACTTTCTTCAGTTGGTTGATTGCCGGAGATGGTTCCGTTGGAAGGTGACATCCATAACCCCCACGGCGATTTGAACATAGAACCAAGTGATGAATAGGGCTGTGTATGGAAAAAGGTATTGATGACGTCAAGATTTATGGGATCATTGATCGAACTCACCACACGCGTGTCGAATAGTCTGAACAAAAAACTTTTGGCGGACATTTCATTGTCCAGTTGAACACCTGCGATGAACGATGAATCTATGTCTTTGTCCAATGTGGTTTCCACTCTGCTATGGTAGATACGTGAGCCCCAAAAGATCTTCTCTCGCATAGCCAGCCAATATTCCACTGGTGAGTCAGTGGTGCTTACCATACGTCCATTGACGAGTTTGATCCTTTGGTATTCGAGTGGAAGAGTTATTCGGAAGTAATCATACGCACTGAGGCCCGTCCTGCGGTGGTCAATTCCATTTCTTTCAAATAACTCCAGAATGGTTTGTCTTCCAGGAGTCTCGATGGGTCGTTGTAGAATTCTTCTGATTTGACAGGCAATGTAAAGTATGCGAAGAGGCCATGTGTATCGAATGAAATGGTTGTATTGGAATAGGGCCATGATGAAATTGTTCGAATACGCACCATTTGTGTTAAATAATTTTGCAAAATGACATGCTGCATTATCTGCGATACGAGGGGTGATATAACCGCGAGCTGGTGGGTAGTCGTCGAATTCTTCATCAGTACCCTCATCAATTATTTCGTCTGGAAGAACAATTTGGGGCTCCAATGGTGAGTTGAGTTTCACTCTCCATGGAAAGTGGACTGTATAAACGTATCTCAGAATGTGTTCGATGCTCTCCCATCTAAGATAATGAGAGTTGTTATATATGGCCTTAGTAGCCAACAGATTGGTAAGTGTATGTTCGTAGTCGATAAATTCCTTCAGTCTGAAGCAGAATACATCAACCAGCTTCCCAGCTGCGTTCATTGTTCTAGGGAATCGCTCGTGAGGTGCTTTGAGGTCACCGATCTCGGTCAACAGCGTATCAAACAGGCAATGAAAGTCTTCGTAATCCTTGAGTGTGAGTCTTTGGGCCATGTCGTACACCTGGGTTGGAAACTGAATTGTAGGATACCTCTTTGCAAACAACCTCCGCGCCAGCATATTGGAGCCATTATCGCTACTGAAGAAGCGATACAAAACCGAGCTCGATTGAATGGTTCGTCTGATTGACGCGGGATTGTCTGCAAAATTGGAGAGGATCTCGATGGAGAGCTCTGGGATTTGCAAAACGCGCTGAGGAAGATTGATGATCGCACCCATGTTTCCGGTGGTCTCGGATTCCGATGTTTCCATGATGACGGGTTAGTCTCGTTCTGGTTGTTATCAAGAAAAAAACCCAGTGTGCTCGAATCATAACAAAAAATCCTGGGGATATGGAAAGCTTTGTGCGCGTTTGTCGCAGAATGACGACCAGGAGAATCCGACGACGAAACGGAGGTTATGCCAACTTCAGATGTGTGAATTGCGGGATGATCGGGCACATGTACCGGGACTGCACGCTCCCGGTGACGAGCTACGGGATCATTGCATACCGGCGGTTCCGCGCCGGCGACCAGATATCGACAGTACCCGGGACACCGTATGACTGCGACGTCCACAACAGCTTCATCAACACACGATCCCAGACGCTGATTGCCCCGCGCGACGGCGATCTCGTCTACTGCATGATCCAGCGGAAGGACACGCACGCCTACATCGACTTTATCCGCGGCATCTACAGCACACCCCAGCTCATGACGCTCTTTGGCGAGATGACCTGTCAAGAGAGACACCGGCTGCTCCACGAGTCCTTTGACGAGATCTGGAACCGGCTCTGGGTGAACCACAAGAATCCATGCTATACCATGGACTACGACGAAGCCAAGGCCAAGTACACCAGCGTCGACAAGCACTACTACATCAAGCACACGCACTGCACATGGCCGCACACCGAGTTTGGCTTCCCCAAGGGACGGCGCAATGTCCGCGAGAGCACACTGAATGCCGCATTGCGCGAATATACGGAGGAGACTGGGTATCCGCACAGCCAGCTGCGATTGAACAACAGAGACACGTATATTGAAGAGTTCAAGGGCACCAACGACATCCAATACAAGCACGTATACTACCTCGCCGAGATGAAAGGGGAGGCGGACTGGGAAATGAATTTCTCCAATTTGCACCAAGCTGGAGAAGTCAAGCAGGTGGGCTGGTACACCTTTGAGCAGTGCATGCGGTTGTTGCGTCCATATGACATTGAGAAGAAGCGGGTGCTTGGTCGGATCCATGAAAAGCTGGTGCGCCATCAGAGGAGCTGTGCGCGCATCAGGGCCAGCAATTCATCCTTTGATTCCCTTGGCCTTGCTCGCTGAGCTGGATCCAGCTCGAGCATCTTGCAGACCCAGTGCCGCTGTTCCTCCTTGACAAAGACGTTGCGCAGATGGTGATACATGCCATTGGGTTTGCCCTCGAGGTGCATATACCAGGCTGCGCTGTTCGGGTCGCTGGTCTTGGTGGGGATCTTGAGACTGTAGGTCTTGAGCGGGACCGAGCCGATGATGGTCAAGATGACGCTGAGTTGTTCGTGGCCTGTCTTGGTGGATATGAGAGGCTGCCCAAAGAACATTTCAAAGACAATACATCCCAGACTCCACATATCCGCCTGCAGAGTATAATCGATACACCCCAGCAGAATCTCGGGTGCGCGGTACCAGAGCGTCACGACGGATGTGTCCTGCTTGACGTTGTAGAGGGTGCGATCCATGCGGGCGAGTCCAAAGTCGGCAATGACACAGTGCCCGTCCGCGTGAACGAGAATGTTGCCCGGCTTCAGATCCCGGTGAATACACCCTTGTTCCTCCATATAAACGAGTCCGTCGATAAGATTGGACGAGAACTTGAAGGTCTCGTCCATGGAGAGCCCGTCGTCCTTGCTCTTGATGAGGGCGTCCAGCGTGGTCTTGTATTCCTCAAAGACCAGCCAAGTGAACTTGAGGTTGTCAGCAAAGAAGAACTCCTCCAGCTGCACAATGTTAGGGTGGCCCGCAAGGCGCTTGAGAATGGCAATCTCCCTGATGAGCGTGGCAGAGAGCTCCCCGGGTTTCTCCATCGTGGTCTTCTTGAGCGCATACGTCTTGCCGTTCTTGGATCCGCGATAGACGGTCCCATACGACCCCTTGCCGAGCCTCTGGTTGATATGGACGGTGTAATCCTTAACGACGACCATGGTTCACCTCGCCCAGAGACCTAGATATTCTCGAGCCCGATCTGGGCGCACACCCGCTTGAGCAACGCCATGAGCGGCAGCACCATATGATCATACTGCACGGCGAGAAAGCCGTCCCGGTCCTGCTTCACGAATTGCGGAAAGTGCTCCTGCACCTGCTGGGCAATAAGACCCACCCGGCGCGGTCCATCGGGATCTCTGGTGTGGACGTACTCGATCATGTCGAGGTCGAGCAGCTTGTGGGCGGTGTTGTACATTTGGACGTTGTAATCGACAATGTCGGTCTTGAGACGGATATCCGACGAAGTCGAGAGCTCGCCCATGACGTTGACGTCGCAGGAGAGAGTGATGAGCGAGGGGTCGACGAGGATCTGCGGCTGGCTCACGGATGTGCCTGCCCGCACACCGACAGAGCGGACCTGCCCGGCACCCATCGCCCGCGAGCTCAGCACGTACATGTCGGTCGACTCGGATGCCAGCTGGCAGCACTCAAAGTCGCTGTCTGAATAGGACGCCCCCAGGGTGAAGAGGGCCAGGTTGCGACTTGTCGTGGTGGATGGGCTGGCAAGCGACACGAGCCGAAGGGAATCGCATCCAGCCGAGAGGATTGAGGTGCTGGCCGAGATCTGGGTGGATGCCGAGCTGAGGGCGGTGTAGTCCAAGGTATTTGCCGTCAGCACGGACGAGACGCTGGCGTTGGTGATCGTTGCAGCCGTTGCAGTGAGATTGGTGGCCGACAGGGTCGCAATTGTGGCAGTGGTGCTCACGCCGAGACCCGCAAACTCGGCCGTCCCGGTCGACGAGAGCGCCGAGCTGACAGTGAGGCTCGGGCACGTGATGGTGTCGGTGGCGGTGACGTCAGCCGCAGAGACCGACGAGGCAGAGAGCGAGGTGATGGATGCCGAAGGAGCGCCGATGGACGTGGATGCGGTCAAGACCGGTGCACCGACGGACGATGTGGCCGTGACCGAACCCGAGCAACTAACAGACCCGGCATCGACGGTGGACGCCGAGAGAGTGCCAGAGACGCTCACGGCCGAAGCGGTCAATGTTCCCGAGACCGATGCGCTTGCCAAGCTGGTGCTGCCAGCACAAGAGAAGCTGCCACTGGACCCGATCGATACGGACGACGAAGCAGCAAGAGTGTCGACCGAGACGTCCACCAGGTTCGTAGACACCGTGGTCGTGAGGTTTTCAAAGCTGGCATTGGTGAGACTGAGAGTGTCGATAGTGATGCCGCTGCTGACGCTGATGGTGGTGCAGCTCAAGGACGACACTGTAGCCGAGGAAGCGCTCAACGAAGTGGCTGTGACGCTCGGTGCAGATAGCGAAGTGGACAGGTCTATGGTCGACGCTGAGACGTCACCGGCCGAGAGTGCTCCGGTGAAAGCCGCATCAGCCGAGCAAGCCAGCCCGTTTGCAGCCGAGACCGAGAATACCGAGCCAACCGAGAGCTCAGAGCCACATGCCAAGTTCCCCTCGACGCTGAGGCCCTGTTGATTCGTTTGTGGGCAAAGGACCTGGAGGGTGGTTCCGTTCAAGGACAAGTCGCTGGTAGGTGACGAGAGAGCCGGTGTCTGAACGGAGGTGGCAACGGACACGCTGGCCCCGCACTGGATGCCGCCGATGGTGTAGAGTGCATTGGTTGCGGTGCTTGAGAGCGAGACGGCCTGGCAAAGCACACGGTCGCTATAGATCTCGAGGGTGGATGCCTCAGAGACGATGACGTTTGCGCGGATGTTGCTCATTCCGTTCCCATGACCTGGGTCCAACAAAAATTTTTATTGATGTAGAAGACAGCAATGATCGAGTTTGCACCATTCAGCCCACTGCCGCCTCTGAAGCACAAGCGGCACAATGAAGACGTATTCACGACCTTTGGACAGCCGATCGAGCCGCGGGTCGATCTTGATTTCGGAATGCAGCCAGGGACTCCGGTACGATTCAGGCGTGCTCTGGGTCGCAAGGCCCTGGTGGTCGCATATATGACGACATGCGGCCACTGCCACCGGCTTGCCAAGGAGCTTCGCAATGCACCCTTCCCGGTCTTTCACTTTGACGGTGTGAAGCAACGGCAGATTTCAGAGATCCTGGGTGTCAACGGGTTCCCGACGCTCTTTGTGGTCGATTCCAAGGGACTCTTGTATCCGTACAGTCCCACTAACCCACGCACTGCTTCTGCCATTCAGCAGACACTCACGCTTCTCCCTTAAGGTAGCTGCCCAAAGGCCTCCAAGACCGTGAACTTGAACATGAGCATGTGCTGGTTTGACGGATCAAAGCCGGTGCCATAGTCCATGAGAGTGCCGTCGGGGGCACGCAAGGCGATCGACAGGTAATTGAGTCTGGGGATGGACGGCTGGCAGATCAGTGTCGTTGTCTGGGTCATTTGCGTCTGCACGATGCTGTGGGTGGACGAGCCGGCTCCGGGGGCGGTAAAGAGCACATTGAAGGCACCGTTTGCACTGCCGACATCCATGTGGTTCAGCTCATTAACATCAAGGATGACATAGGGCGGCGTCGTGGCCGGTGTCGACGGCAAGGTCCCTCCAACGAGCTCGACACGAATGACATCGCGCAAGGGCTGGAGGATCGGGAAGCGATACTCTGCCGGAGACGGATAGACAGGTGCACGCTTGATGGACTCGACGCAAATAAAGTAATTGCGTTCCCTCTGCTTTGGAGGCGGGGTATCGATCCATTCGGATGTCGTTCGAGGCGGGATACCCAGGACGGGGCGGCTCGGCTGGATCTTGGTATTCATTTGGACGATCGATGGCAAGCGCTGGGGAAAAAATGTGAGCCTGATCGCAGCAAACGCAGCACATCCGCACGCATGTCGTACGCAACCATCGCAACCATGCTCGTCTATCTCTTCGTTCTGATCTATATGATTCTCGTGGGCCTCAGCTGATCCCGATGTTGCAAGGGTGGCGCAGCACCGACGTGAAACTTCCGCCCAAGAGCGGAGTCGTCTCCCCAGACCCCATCATCCTCCCAGATCAAACTTCGCCAGCGCACTATTATGACCATATCGGCAGCGGATTTTTCAACTTATCATTTGTTCAACGGCCTTGAATCCGATGAATCAGACGTCGATCCTGATTGAGGAACCGCCACTCGAAGAACGAAAACAGCCCCCCGCTCCGGCGATCGAGTGTCTCAAGACACCCATTGCGCTTCCGGCGCCACAAGCTCAGTGCAACCGTTCGGCCCGAAGGGAGCAAGGATCGGTCAAGAAAAAGCAATCCGGATCCATCGGTCGTGGATCGAGTCGCAAAACGACAATTTCTCGCTGCAAAGCCGGGTACCTAAAGCTCGCCTCGATGTTCACTTCACCACCGAAGCCACCGAGTACCCTCTTGTGGCACACGATCATCAGCGATCAGACGCCCGCTGCCACACTCAGCAATGAAGATGGTATCATTCACTCCTGGTCGATCTCAAGTATAGCAGCCCGGTACATCACGGAACGGATTGCGAACGAAGCATTGGTAGATGAAGTTCAATTCGCTGGAGTTAGCACCGCCTTATTCAACTACGTCAGCTTCCTGTGTGTGCTCGAGTGCCTCCATGAAGCCAAGCGCAACCCACGCTTGTTTGCGCTCTCGTACACCATCCCAGAATTGCGCGACGGTGACGATAATGTCGTTGACCTGGATAGGATCGGCTACAACATGGGCGGTGATTACCAGCTCGTCTACCCATACTCCGACCAAGTCCGACGTCACCATCCAGCCATTATTGCTTGCGCCAAGGTTTTGTCAATGTCAACGGTGGCTGGGACGCTCGACCGACAAACGACGGACCTAGTACAATGGCTTGCCATTGCCATGCAACCTCCCCTGGGTAGTCTATGTCCTGGATCGAGTCCGCAATCTACTTCGATTTGTGATCGTCCTCTCGGAAGTCGAGATCACCGAAGATCTAAAGAGGCGTATCATGGCTATTTACACAACCAAGCGCAACAATGTACTTGGTTTGTTCGGAATCGATACTGACGAGACACAAGAGTCCATTCAGAGGAAGACAAAGCTCTCACCCCAGAGCAAGTCTTACCTTTGCGAAGAATTAGCGGGCTTCACACCGATGGGTATGGATTTCACCTTCAACGCCCGTCTGTACGTCCCGTTCGACGAAGTGCCCCTGTCCGTCTACATCCCATTCACCAACGGTGTCAATCGAGTCAATCAGTCCGGTAGCCTTTCGTCTACCCGAAAAATCTACAACACCGGTCGTCACAAGGACACAACGCACATAAGCACCGTCGGCAAGGATGGAAGTGTTACTGCGCTGAACTTTAAGGACTGGCAGGCGGTAGTGGAGGATATTGGCAGCTGTGACGACCCGGTCCGTTATACAGCCCCCGCAGACTCGCCACAGAGCTACACCAAAATTACGATTCATAGCACTGGCACTTATGTATTTGAGATCGCATACTTGCGTATCATGGTAGACATGATCCGCGCCCCTTTCATGTTGTTCCCCTGCGCTGAAGAGCAATAAAGAATTTCTCACCCATATAGTATATCGAGCCAAGATGTCCCAGAACACAGACACCCCCACCCCCGCACCTGCTGCTGCTCCTGCTGTCGCTGCCGATCCGGTCGCCAGCTTTCTGCCGCTCGCCGAACGCCTGATCAGCAATCTCCGCGATGACGTGTCCACTGCGCGCAAGACGATCGAGCTGATTAAGTCGGCCAAGGCCACCTACCAGCGCGAGATGCGCACCGCCCAGCAGAGCCAAGACCGCTACAACCGCCTGGCCCAGAAGGCGGCGGTCTCCCAGTCCCGCAAGCGGAAGACGCAAGCCGGCGGAGATGACACGTCGACCGCGGATGACGCCGCTGCCAGGCTGACAGCTCCGCGCAAGCCCAGCGGCTTCGCCAAGCCCACAAAGGTCTCCGCTGCCATGTGCGAATTCTTGGGCATCCCCGCCGACCAAGAGATTGCCCGCACCACCGTCACTTCGTCTGTTATCGACTATGTCAAAAAGCATAGTCTCGAGGACACCGAGAACCGCCGGGTGATCCACCCCGACGAGAAGCTCGCTCAGCTGCTGGGCCCGATCCGTCACCCGATCGACAAGAGTGGTTCCCTGGGGGTCTCGTACTTTAACCTGCAGACTTATCTTAACCCACACTTTCTACGCAAGCCCAAGCTGGAAGCTCAGGACGAGCCCGCCACGGCGACAACAACGGAAGACCCCGTCCCCGCCGCGGACCCTGTTAACGTCCCTGCCGAAATCGTGGCGCAGTAGTGATCACGACCAGGCTCGATGCAAAGTCGTTCCCACCAACGCTTAAAAGCAGCGCACCATCGACTTTCCCTCTCTCACTTCTATCGCATCATTTTTCTGCGTTTTCTTCTCTTCACCTACTACTATCCTAGCCATGTCTTCCTTCAAGGCCACTCAGAACCACGGCATCGTTGACATCAAGGACCTTGACGTCAGTAAGATCACCATCACTGATCCCAAACCATTTTCTAACTCCTATGGCAACTTTGCTTTTGTCAACTACGGCACTTCCCGCGACACGATCAAGCTCAAGCTCCCCGAGATGAGCCTTCCCTTCGCAGCCAAGCTCTGGACCGACAACAAAGAAAACGACAAGGTTGTCGCCAACGCTACCGCTCCCAGCGACAATGGCAAGATCACCATGTGCCTCAGCCTCGACGGCCATGAGACCGATCCTATCCTCGAAGCGGTCTACCATAAACTCGTCGAACTCGACGAGCGTATGATCGATCTCCAGGTCCAGAAGAGCAAGAACCTCGCCGTTCCCTTGTTCCCTAACGAGCGCCGTGAATTGAGTCGCAACCAGGTCGCCGATCGCTACAAGGGTACCGTCACCACCAAGATCGGCCAGACCGGAATCGCCTATCCTCCCAACATCAAGGTGAGCATCGACCGCGACCCTCAAAACCCGAACGCCTTCCGTGCCGGCAAGTACGACGTCAAGTTCACCGAGGCCGGCAATAAGTTGATCGACGTCAACCCCAGCAATGTCGAGCAGGTCCTCAGTGCCAATGCCCGCGTCATCCCCATCGTCGAGATCACCAAGCTCTTCCTTGGCAGGAACAACAACTCGTCCTTGACTCTGCGTCTCTGGCAGATCAGAGTGTTGAGCAGCGGCGACAGCAACATTGGCGACATTGACTTTTTCGCCGAGAACGCACCTGCCTTTGTGAACACTGACGTCCCCTCTATGCTTCCTTGCAAGCGCACGACTGGCGATGCCGAGCAGCAGGAGCAAGAGACTTCCTCCTCCGAGGAACAGCCCACTGAGGAGTAGAGCGGAGCGAAAAAAATATTCTCTGTTTGTATCAGCAGTACTGTGCACAGATGGACAATAAATACTCTTCGTATCAGTATGATGACGAACGCCCACACAGACGACCGAGTAGTAGTCGAGAGGTTGCCCAGTATCGCACACCTCGCCCCCATAAGTCATTCGGTGCCGCTATCATTATCATCCGGCCCGTCGACTCTGTTCCCAATGAGGAGATGGTTGATGGCGCATATGACATGTCTGGGAGGGAGAAGTCTGGAGGCGGGTTCTTGAGCGGCTGGTTTGGCAAGAAGAAGCAACACCAGCCACAGGAAGATCCTTTGTGCGAAGGCCAGATCGCACGAGGCGAAGATAATCGCCCGTACATGGCAATCCGCTCTGATTATGGTTATCCCGATCAATGGGCAGGTGCCAGCGATGACGCTGATGCCGACGACGATGATGATGATGATGATGATGATGACTCCAAGAAGGGAAGCAAGCAAGCGGATACTCTGAAGACATATCTCAAGAAGATGAATAGCAACATCGAAAAGCTCAACAAGAACATGCTCGAGTGGAAGGAGACAAAGTCGACCGTGACCCCGATTTCCTCGATCAGCGATGCAACCCATGCTCTGAACCTGTCGCTCGGCTCACTCGGTGCCTTGAACCCGCTTGGATCTGCATCTGCACACCCGCTCACCGCGACAGCATCGTCTTTGACTGCCACCGATCCCAACGTCTTTGCGGTCCGCATCCGCAAGTCCGACTTTGTCGGCACTGGTATTGAGCCCGAAGCCGTTGTTCAACGCCCAGCTGAAGGCCCTCTCCGAGAAGACCGGTTTGGATTACAAGGTCATTCCCTACGACACGCACTTTGATATCGTTGTGCAGAAGAAGAACCCATTCACCGCCTATCGAACTCCAATGGCCCATCCGTGGTACTCGCTCACTGCCGACCAGCAAACCTTTACGGGCGATTTGCGAGGCAAGATATTGAACTCGGTCAAGCTGAACGACTGGGCCCAGATGACATACCCACACTGGGATACTGCTGAGGGTTGGCTGAAGCGCGGTATTCCCCCTCCTCCAAAGGGATGGGTGCCCGGTCAGATCATCATGGACGATAGCGAGGTTCAGGAGATCTACAAGTTTGTCTCGGAAACTATGCTCAAGAAGGCCGAACAACCACTGATGGATTTCCTTTCCGATGTCGGCAACAGAAAGGTCATTGGATACCACGCGTTTGCCGGCGGACTGATCCCCAAGGAGAACCGCATTTCAGGGGCCAACAACGACAATGCCAAAACCCTCCAACTTGCCAACGATGTCGTCAAGGCGCTGAGCACTGCCTTCGATAAAGTCATTCCAAGTTTGCTCAGTATGGGTATTATCAATGCAGACGCTGCCGGAGGCGCTAAGCGCACGCTTAAGGAGTTTTTCATGTCATGGGGATTCACCATGAATTCCTCGAATATCGTGAGCTCTGTCATGAATGCATTCAATAAATCACTCAGTAAAATCCATAGAACCGGTGATATGGAACCCTTTACAAACGCCGATGACCGCCAAAAGTTGATGTACAGCTACGCAAATGCTGATGCCCAAGCGGCTGCTACAACTCGCAAGGCCGTTGACTATGAAACTAAGAGAAGTCAAACGGATAATCTGGATTACTATGCTGATGTCTATCTTAAGGACCATATTGATACCTATGCCAACCTCATGTTCCAGATGTGTGCGTTGACTGGCATCCTACTCGCATATACCTTGGTCCAAGAGAAGGCCGATGAGCTGATTACCCAGCGCAAGAGAGACGGTTCTCTCGATATTACCCGCTTCATCGGTATCAAGAAAACCCAACTCTATGAAGATATGGAGACCTTGAGCTCTGGTGGAGTTGTTTACAGCGACAGAGCAGACAAATCAGAATGGCACAATCCCGAGACAATTAAAAAGATCATCATCAAAGTTCGTGAATTGACACCAGCGAGAGCTTGATTTGCTTCACATGTCCATCCATCAGGAGCTCAAGCAGGTTGAAAAAAAATATCAGTATAGAGATCAGCCGGTGGCGTCATTTTCATCCTTTCCTCATTCATGATCATCGTGCTGGGATACTACGACCGAAGCAACCTGGGCGACGACATCTTTGCCCGCATGTGGCCATGGCTTTTGCAGCAAGTCACCACTGACGACGTCTACGTTGGCAGCCTCGAAGACCCCATAGAACAACTTCCTCTGACCACGCCCAGGTGTATCATCTTGGGCGGGGGTGATCTGATCAACGAGTACTTTCTGAATAGGCTGGTTGCTGTCCTGCGGCAAAAGAACTGGTGTAACGTCCACTACTGGGACGTTGGGGCAAGACGGGGAGGGAGGGGGTACAAGACAAGACAGGACGGGGCAGAACAGGGCGGTGCTAGGCTACTCTAGCGGACGGGTGAGCTCGGGGAGCACTTACGTTTATTCACGATAAAACCGAACTCCAGACAAACGGGGGGGAACGGGGGCAACCCGCAGGTATACCCTGCGGTGGCCTGCCTGCGGTGCGTGAAAACGCAAAGCGCAGCACAGGTCACGACCCACTGCGCCGCGCAGTACGCGCAGTACGCGCAGCACAGCGTCGGAGATACCATCTCCTACACTCCCACACTTAAGAAGGCTTCCTGCGAGGAGCCCTGCGTGTGCTCTTTATTTGGGGCTCCTCGAGGTGTTTACCGTATTTACTCAGCTCCTCGGGTGCATGGGACAAGTCCTCCAGTGTTTGCCATGTGTTGCCCGAGTGTGGGTAACCAACCCACTTGACATAAAACCGAAGTGACCCATCAGCCACTTTCTTGTGCCTCACGATCCTTTCGACTTCATATTCTTGAGTATAGTATTGTCCGAGGTCGTCTTCCAGTGGTGCGTCGTCCGGGACACCTTCGTCGGCGTCGGGGAACTGTGCTGGACTGCGGGTCGTGTGGCGACGCAGCTTGGACACATGGAAGACAGGATGGAGCTTGCTTCCAGGTGGCAAGTCCAACAGGTAGTTGAGGGGACTGGGTCGGGCCGCTATCTTGAACGGTCCTCGGTACTTGGGCAACAACTTCTTTGACTGGGCTTCTGTCATGAACACCCTCTGCCTTTGCCCACTCCCTTCCTTTACCCTTGCCCTTTCCTTTCTGTTTGCCTGTCTTAGTGCTTTCCCTTCCTTCTGTTTGTTTGTTTCCCGCGCTGTGCTGCCTTGTTGTCTTACCGCAAGCACGCGCGCTGCCTGTGTTCCGTTCCCGCTCCCTTGCTGTTGGTCATGGGTTACGCCCACGACGCCGCCTCGACGCCGCCTGACGCCTTGGCGCCGCCAAGCCGCCGCCACTGACGCCCGCTGACTCACGGATCCCGAGTCACGGCCGCCACCTGCTTCGCTCGCTGCTTCGCCCTCCCCGCCGCTGCTTCGCTCCTGCCCCCTCGCTCTGCAGCGTCGATCCTTGGCGCTCGCATAAATAGCCCTCCGACCAGCCTCTGTCTTTTGCCTTCGTCTTGCCACTTTGTATTTTTAGTATCCTAAGCCTTGGATCTAGAATAAAACTTTGGCTTCACACTTGACACTCTGTGTCCCAGTCCAGTCCCCGCTCCTCTCCCTACGTTCGAGTCTTGCATTAGGACTCTTGCGCACTTCCCTGCTTGCCCCGTTGTCCAGTCTTGACACTTGGCAAGACCTTCAACAACCCCCCACTTGCCCTGCCTTTGCCCCGTCCCCTTCTCTATCTCTTTTACCAATGGCTTCCCCTTCTGGCCTTTC